AAAAAAAAAAGAAAAAAAAAATGTATATAAATATATGTGTTTCAATATTTTTAGTTTGATAATGCAGCTCCAGGACAGAGAGTATTAATATCATCAAACAAATTATTTTATCCCAATTTCATTCCCATAGAGTACAAATATAAATACAAAAAAAAAAAATGTAGAAATAGAAGTACAGAAACTTTTATTAAAAATCTGGTCAAAGTATATCTCTGGGTGAAGGTGGGGTACATGGACAATCTTGCTCATCAGTGTAACCCTAATGATGAATTCACGAGCGGAGTCTCACAGAGATTTTTTATCTTCTATTTTTATAGTGCGTACAAACTGGGGTTCAACCTGTTCAAAAATGACGAATACCTCAATGAATCAGACATTGACTTCACACTGGAGGAGACACTCCACCTTATTACAAGTATCGGTCTCGCCTTTGCTTTTCCTGCTGTGTTTGGCGAAAACAGTGGCTCCACCTTGGGGAAAATTACACTTGAGGCCATTGCGGATTGCGGACTGGCATACAAACATACATACAAGTGAGTGGCAAAATAAATTATATTCTCTTAAAAGTACAAATACAATACATTCAAATACTTAATGAAGACATGGGGCTGGTTTCATTAAACTTTAAAAAAATTTAGACCTAAAATTGGTAGAAACTTAAGACAAAACATTTGTTCTACTTTATTTCAAAACAAAATAATAGTTGTCTAATAAAATAAAGGTATTAGTAGACTACGTCTGAAACACAGATCAAAGGAGGCGACCCATTTAAAAGTTTGCCACTTAATTCCTGATTAGCCACTGAATAGACTCCCAGCGGGGATTAAACAACAAGCATTCAAGTGGGTCGGCCATATTTGATCTGTGGATCTGTTAGCCTGCTGTTCTGAATATGCTCTGAGATGACATCTTAAGATGGTTCTTTCTGCAACTTCAGATGGCCCTACTGTAAGGGTGTGTACCACTATAAGGACCCCACCTGCAAGATGAACTGCCTGACTTCAGAGTTGATCTACTGGGGCCTGACCTCTATCCTGGGGATACAGAAGAAGCCTGTCAGAGCAGCGTACATCAGTAATGAGTGGGAACTGTACAACAAACTACTACTCAGGACCAAGCTACCTCAACTCTATCATTTGCTCACCGATCCCAAGTACAGGCTCCCTTCTGTGGCTCCTGTTGGTCACTATGGCAATGCTTGTTAAGCTGGTCGGTGAAAATGCTTGTTTAGCTTGTCAGTGGTCACTATGGCAGCACGTGAAAAATTGGCTAGTGGTCACTATGACAACATTAATTAAAATTGGCCAGTGGTCTCTACGACAACACTTGTTAAGTTGGCAAGAGGCCACCAAGGCTATATCTTTAAGTTGACCAGTGTCCCTATGGTAAAACTTGATAAGTTGACCAGTGGACTGAATGAGAGAGATCATCACTTCATGTGACTGTCAGGTGACCAAGGCACTTTATTTTAAGCAGAACAAGGATATTTTATTCAGTAAAATAAAAAAGCAGTGCACACGTCCACACAAGACTGGCTTAGGAACAGTGAGGGCACTCTAAAACCTGCATAGACACCTATCAATGGAAAAGAAAATAACAGCGATCTTTTAAAAAATTTAGAAAACCTAGGTTGTATTGAATTTATTATTTCTTTTATATCTCATGAATTCCTGGCTATCCTGAAAGTTTCATCAAATTTTGTGAAGAAACACTGAGATATCCTGTTCACTGATAGTGATTAATCAGTCTGGTATATTCAGCATTTTATTTCCCAACAGTAGAGACCATTACAGGATTAAGTGATCTTCTTTTCATGTAGGTCTACCATATTTAGGTCATGGCCTAGCTAGCACTTGGCTCTTCTCATTCTGAATGGGGTCATAGATCCGGATGACAATAAATTTTCCAAAGGTTACACTTCATATACATATAATGTATGCAGTAGTACCTTCTCTATTGCTCATTATATATCAAACTTGTAAGTACTATAATTCCAAATTTTCTCTGCTATATCTGATTTATCTTTCTTCTTTAAGAATGCCACTTTAATCTTCAATGACATTATCAATCAAAGAATCAAGAATGGTACCTAACATCTTGTCTCCAGTTGGTTAATCTGTCGAATTTGTTTCATTACATAACATACTCAGTCACAGGCTGAAAGACATCATGGATGCACTCTGTGAACACTTGCATCATCAAATTACAATTTGCACCTTCAAAAGCAAAAACTTAAGTACAAGCAAAATAAACTTGAATATGGTATTGTATTTGACATCATTTAATAATTAAAACACAAAACACCCTATAATTATATATATGTGATGCATGGATAAGTCCTGGTCCATTCACTTAACAAACTGGTTCATAAAATGGGACATGTTGTTAGCCCTGGAGCACCTGTGCTGTCATCCACCATTCAAGTATTAGTAATCTCCTACACAAAGGCTCTATTCCCATAGATTTTAGATCGATCTATCCCCGGCGGGGAGTCTCACTAGATTACTTTCAGATAATCCGACTTAAATCTCCGTCCTGCCTACTACAAGCTGTAAGGGGATAATTAACTTTCGTGTCCACCCGGCTGACAGCTATTTAGCGTGAACCCCCAGGGAGTTAGGTCGATCTAAAGTAGGTTGATCTAATCTATGGAAATGGGGGTTAGTCTTAGACAATTTCCATTCTACAGTACAATACATGCCTTAGATTTGTGCTGCAATACCCTTCAAGATATCTCCTAGCCAGTGATGTATACATGGAACAAACAATTTGCAATCTTTACTGCACCATTATTGGGCATAGTATACTCACAAATGCCATCATTCAGGAAAACTAATACACAATAATGACATTCAATTCCTTTTCACTATTTACATTTAATTATTTACCAACCTTTATCCTTGAGATTGTTGAAATTACAGGGTTTCGCTAGAAACTACATATTATTTCTACCTCTTACTATACTATTGCCACTTAGTAAATTAAATGCCAAATTATCTCCTGTGAAGAAATATTTAATCCCAGCTTGCTACATGCNGGGGTGGGGGGTTTTCATATTATCAAGCTTCTTTGAGCAATTTGTGTGATATTACAAATCAGGACGTAACGTAAAATCTCTTCCAGCGAAAGGCCACAAACCACTTGACTCATTGCAGAGCCAATTCCTGGTGCGTAAACATGACGATATCTCCTATCCCTCCCTGTATAGCTGACCTTAAGCCCTACTTCACAAAGTACCTAAACGTATTTGGCGTCCATATTGTGGCAGTCGAAGATGTACCTGACACCAGGGTGCGCCACGCTGCAAATATCATGGCGGAGTACTTGGACAATGATGGCAATGGGATGGTGGATAACAAAGCCGTTGTCCATAAACTGATAGAAAATAAGGCTACGTTTTCCTTGTTTAGGTAAGGCTAGGGGGAAAAAAAATCAATGGCTTAAAAAATTGATAAACAAACCCTAAAAGTTTTTGACTGGGAACTAAACTCTTCC